TTTTTTTTTTTAAGTTTAAGCAATCTTCTTTCAAGATTAGATGTGTATAAGAGACAGATATTAAAGAGTGGGTTTGATATATAGATATATATATGTATATATGGCTACCTATAAAATTAATATTTGAATAGGCTGATTACTATTAGGCTAAATATGTGAATATTTGGCATATCATAGTGTACAGGTCTGCCATATGTGAAATTTTTTTAATTCTGCGAATGACCTCAAAAACAAAATCAAATTTATGCAGAAAATTGCTACAAAAATGAGTGCGTAGAATCACTACACACATTAGTTATATATTAGGATTATAGATCAAAAATTGTTGGCAGAATCTGCACGGAAATCGGCCTTTATTTTTTAAAATGCGTGGACGGATTTCTAGGCCTAAATGTTTACACAGAGGATATAATATTCCCTGGGCAGGCCTTATTTTACAATTTGGGTGGTCTGAATATTTTCCTCACCAACCGATTTTGACCCTGAGCAGTGACCTACCAATGGAATCACATGATCACCAAAATCGCTGTCTGCCTAATTGCCTGCCTACCAACTTATCTGCCTATCAATCGCCTTTTCAAACAAATCTCCCAATGAACAGTTTGACTGCCAACTAAATTGCCTGCATTTGCCTATATGGGATGTGTTAAACCGGGTATCACTGTTTGAGGAGTTTTCCTCTTGGTGGGTATGAGTATGTGTCTTTTGCTGCAGAAATGATAGTGAGGAAATTTACTTCAATTATTTTAAAACAAAAATATTTTTTTCACAATATGCAGCACACAGTCCTTAGAGGAAAGGGGATTAAAATTGTATTACTAATTGATGTTTTGGTTAAAAATACTCTTTTTACAGTAAAGTTCTGGTTTTACCTCCGGAAGTAAAGAGTTATTTACTGGCTGATGGAATTGTTCTACCTGAAGAAGATAATTATAGGTAGGACTCTATTATTTTTCTTCATAGGTTTTTTGATATATTGTGATTCCTTTTTATTTTATTTTATTTATTTTTTTTTTAAGTTTTTCGTTGAAGGCTTTGCTTGTCCTTGTTTTTCTTCTCTACCAATTTCTAATTTGTTATTTCTAATGGAAAATAAAAGAAAGATATGGAATATGTAAATTAATTGATTGATTATAGAATAGTAGTGCTGAATCAAGCAATTCTGTGTACTTCTAATCACTAGTATGTTTTGTATTTTTTTTTCTTATATCAGAAGCACTGCTGATACTTCAGAAGATGAAGAGGTATGTTGATGAACATCAATGTGCTAGTAATGGATCCAGTTAAACAAGGGGGCATAGGGTTCCAATCAGTGGTAACATCAATGTGGGTTCCAGGGGGTTCAGGAGAAGCCAATCACTTTGTCGGGAACATTGCTTTGAAAAATCATTTTTACAGGCATTAAGAGGTGCCTATTCTAAAAACAATTTTCTTGCGGGGCTAAGGTGGGTGTGGTCCTAGTGTCTTTGGACCTCTGAGGATTCTCTGGCACCAACACTGTCCCTATTGAGTTACTAAGGATGACGATAAAAGAATGTGGCTACACTCTCTGATTTTCCTAAACCCCTTTTACATGAAATAACATAAAAATTGACACTAATACACCTAGGTCAAAGAAATAAATTGTTATAAATAACATTCTCCTATCTTTTAAAATCAAATGTCAATTAAAATTAATTTAGAACTTATTGAATATAAAAGTTTTGTTTTCCTTAACTTGATTGGACTTTTTTCTTTTAGGATGATTGGGATGATGGCAATCAAGAAAGTCAGGTAGTAGCCATGGAAAACGTTATTACTTTATACTCGGACCTGCAAAGTGTCCTGGATTTAACATGTAACTCACACAAACAATTGTTTTCCCATGGCCCCACTTGCATTGGTAACATGTACAGTAGTTAATAGTCCCACAATTATTTATTGCATAGATTCATGTACTGTATATGACAAGAGTGGAATATACTCTGTATTCTACAAAATAAATGTACAAATTAAGGCCAAAAAAAAAATGATTGTGTTGGCCCCGCCCGACCGACACAAAATTTACGAAAAATTTATTTATTTATTTATTTTTTTTTTTTCCGACAAATAACAATATTTTTTATGAGCTTATAAGTATGGAATAGCCTTGGCGAGGCTATTGGGGCAAGACTAGCCTATTTTGCTGGAATGTACGCGATGCGAATCCAAAATTATTGTATTATTTGTGTATTTTCTACTTTTTAGTCATAACACATATTTGGTTGTTTTTAAAAAAAAAAAAAAAAACTTCTACCGACCAACCCATTTTTTGGATTTTCCCAAAACGTAATCAACACAATATTTTTTTTTTTTTTTTTTTTTTTTTTTTTGTCAAATAAAAAAAAGCCTT